GATATTCAGACCGACAATTTCACTATCCACGTCTGATGCTCGTTCCACGGATTATTTTCGATGTATGATGTAAATCCAATAAAAATTGTGTACGACATAGTGAAACTATCGGGCACGATACATTAATAACGTTAATATAATAATAATTCAATACGACATATCTATGATCGCTGTAGCCTCGATTCGTTTTTTTCTTTTTTTTCTTGTCATTTTTCATCTTCTAGTGAACGATGTTCTCACACGATCATCGCCATAACGTTTCGTACGGTCGCTTATAATATTACGCTTATTCACAACACTCGCCATTTTTCTTTGCACTTTGCTTTAACAATCGCAGCCTCGAATCATCACAGCGATTAACAGACGACGATTCGTATTGATCACAGCATAACGTATCTACAATATTTACAGAATAATCAATCGGCGAAGACGCGTTTCTTTGTCATCCGTGTAACGATCGAATTTGGAATTACGTGATTTTAAAATTGAATGCCTCGTTGATTTTTTTTTTAAACATACAATTCATCGAGAAAGCTTCGAATCATCTATCTTTTATGGAGATTATAGAGAAAGATTCCAAAAGTTGGATCGACTGAAAATGTTAGCAAAATTGAAAATTTTTATCTTTTTCTTCTATTAGTTTTGAATTAGTTTTTAAAAGTTTTTAAATTTTAATCTTCTGAAAATAAATTTTTAATAATTTGTAACTGGAAATTATCAGATATTGGCAATTTAAATAAATATAAATAAATAGGATGAATTTTTTGAACATAGAAGAAAAATGTTTAATCCATTATTATTTATTACCAATATATTTTATTTTTTTCAAGTGATAATTGTCAATCATTTCCTTTAAAAAAGGAAATGACAAAATTATAAATTTTCCAATAAAGATGGATGATTCGATACTTCTCAAGTGCAGCATACCTAACCTTTTCTACCACCTTCACGATAGACTCGAACGAAACTCGAAATAGACTTGGGGAAACTTCCGTTTACAAATAGACATAGTTACAAAATATTTTCGAAAGCTTCCTATTTCTCTAGTATTTACACGAAACTATGCGAATCAAGTAGATTACATGAAGTTGATGTAGAATGAAGTAACAGAAAAGAAATATGGGTCATGGATTCTATCCAAAAATTGCATTCACGGTTCAATCGAATTTCCTTTTGCATTATCCGCTCTACAGATCGTTAAATCTACTTTAAGTCTCGTTAAAGCTAAAAATATTGTCATCGACATATATTTATGTAGCCGTAATAGGAGAGACAGATCTCCCACTGATGTATCTGATGCATAATTAAAACTGAAACGACGAAGCTCTCTTTGTACGAAGACACCGTCCGATCGATGATTCGGGGCTACGCAACATCATCACTATACCGGCG